ATATATATATATATATATATATATATATAAATTTAATATAAATATAATTAGATAAAGCTTATTTTGTGACCAAACAATTGATAATATTTATGATTTATTGAACCAATTCGTAAATGAGTCAATCTATACTATAATTAAAAACAAAATCCTATTTACTTGATTTCCCACCCAAACAATAGTAAATAGTAAAGGTAAATTAAGAAAAAAAAAAAGAATGGAAAAAAAGAACATAAATATTTCACAATAATATTCTACATCATCTGTTAAAAATGGAATGGAAATTAGGTAAACTGAAAAAATAACTGAATATTAATAATTGACTGAAAATTAAAAATGAAAAAAGAAACATAAATTAGGTTAATTGAAAAAGGAAATAAATACCAGGACTATGTGGTCTAATGGTATCCGGGGTGGACTTCCAAGTGGAAGGTTGTGATTTCGAGCCTCAGTGGAGGCGTTATTGGCTCTTTGTGTTTCAGTAAGTTGAGAAAGTATATGAACAGATACTACAATGTAATAGAGCTAGTAGCATTCAAAAAAAAAAAGGAAATAAATATTTATAATTGACTAAAATGGAAAAGGAAAATGGTCAAATTATTACATTTTAATTTTTTACAATAATATTACACAATATAGTACATCAAATCATAATTATGTCATAAATTTTTCACAATTTTAAAAATGGAACAGAAATATTTCAATAATAATATTTTACATCATCAAGTAAACGTAAATTAAAAATGAAAAGGAAATATTTAAATAACAATATTCTACATCATCAATAATAAAGGCATATTCTAATCAATAATAAAGTTAAATTAAAAATGCAATGAAAATTAAAAATGAAACGAAAATATTTTAATAATAATATTCTACATCATCAATTAAAAATGGAATGAAAATTGGGTAAAATATCACTACATCTGATATTCTAATTGGCTAATTGACCAATTGACTGAAAATAAAAAAGAATAACTTGCTGAAAATGAATATGATATTACTAATTAACTGAAAATATAAAATGAAATGAAATATTAATAGTTGACTGCAAATAAAAAATGATCTATAATTAACTAATATGAAAAAAATAAATGGTTAGGTCATTGCATTTTACTTAAAAATTGATGGAAACTAAAATTTGACGGAAATATTTCAACAATAATATTCTACATCATAGATAATAAAGGCATATTTTAAACAATAATAAAAAATTAAAAATGCAACGGAAATATTTCAATAATAATATTATACATAATCAATTAAAACTCGAACGAAAATTAGGTAAAAATATCATTGCATATGATATTCTAATTGACTAATTGATTAAAAATAAAAAAGAATAATTGGCTGAAAATGAATATGATATTACAAACTGACTTAAAATATAAAAAATCCCTAATTGACTAATATTCTACCATTATATATTTTCACTCGAGTCACCCATCATGATGGACTGAAGGTGTTAGCTATAGACGATGATGGACAAGATTGTGTTGCTACTACCAATGTCGAAAGATGTTTCAATAATGTGTACATACAATCGTTGACATTTTTTTTTAAATGACAAATTTGCTATATATCTAGACAAAAAAAAAATATATATCTTCCATACAAATGAATTAAGATAGTAATTCATTCCTATAACTGAGTTGCTTGAGAATGAGCACATTTGACTAATTTATAAAAAAAAAAAATACTAAACAATGATAAATAAAATCTCCAAAATTACAGCATCGCATGCGTACATCTACACATTAGCTATTAATTTGAGCAATCATTTGCTCAAATTTAAGCAATGATAACATCAAAACACATAAATAATCTAAACCATATGTTCAATTGCACTATATAATATTTGATGTTATAATTTAAATAATTATATATTGATCCAAATATTCTTAATATATTACAACAAATCCATTCTGTGCATCGAACGGGTGAAAATACTATTATTCTAATAATTTTTCTTTCCTTCTTTCGTGTAATTACTATGCTAATGTATTTAAATATTGAAAGAGAATTCTATAAAAAGGATCCTTAACTCACTAAAATTCTATATTATTCTTAAAAACAAAACCCCCATTTCTTACTTACCCGCCCAAACAATAAAAAAAAAATTACCAATTAATAATACTAATAATAATTAGTAAAAAAGTTAGTAGTAAAATAGAAAAAAAGATCCTTAATTCACAAAAAATAGAAAAGAAAACGGGATTCACTAATTAATTAAAACTAACAATAATCAGTAAAAAAGATCCTTATTTCACTAAAAATGAAAATATAAACGGAATTTACTGATTATGACTAATAATAATTGGTAAAATAGGAAAATAAAAAATGAGTCTTAATTCAATAAAAATGAAAAAAGAAACGTAAGGGTGTGAAAAAAAAAGGTCATAATAAGGATAACAGTATAAAAAAAAAAATTCTACCAAAAATTAGAATAATTAAAAAAGTTTCTTAATTCACGAAAAATAGAAAAGGAAATGGAATTCACTGATTAATTAATAGTAATAATAATCAGTCAAAAAATTAGCAGTAAAATATGAAGAAAAAAAAATCATTACTTCACTAAAAATGGAAAAATAAACGAAATTTACTGATTAATACTAATAATAATCAGTAAAATTAAAAATAAAAAAAGATTCTTAATTCAATGAAAATGAAAGATTTTTTTTTTTAAAAAGGGGTCATAATAAAAATAACAGTAAAAACAATCCTACAAAAAAATTGAAAAAAAAAAGATTCATAATTTACGAAAAATAGAAAATGAAATGGAATTCACTGAATAATTAATACTAATAATAATCAGTAAAATTAAAAGTTAGCATTAAAATAGAAAAATATAAAAGGATCCTTAATTCACTAAAAATAGAAAAAGAAACGAAAGTCACTAATTAATACTAATAATACTCAGTTAAATAGGAAAATATAAAAAAATTCTCAATCTATACCATTATTAAAAAGAAAATCCTTCTTCCTTACTTTCACACCCAAACAATAGAAAAAGTAAAAAAAATCTATAATATAATTAAAAACAAAATTCTATTTACTTGATTTATCGCCCAAACAATAGTAAATAGTAAAGGTAAATTAAAAAAAAAGGATGAAAAAAAAAGAACAAAAATATTTCACAATAATATTCTATATTATCAATTAAAAATGGAATGGAAATTAGGTAAATAAATAAGTATCTATTCAAACATATTTTCTCAACCAACACCTTCACTAAGGCTCGATCTCATGACTTCCCACATAAAAGAGGTCACTACATGCCATCTGAGCAGAAGGTGCTTGGCAACAAACATTAGGTTAATTGAAAAATGAAATAAATATTAACAATTGTTTGAAAATAAGAAAATATTCATAATTGACTAAAACAGAAAAAAAAAAATGGTCAGATCATTGCATTTTAATTTTTCACAATAATATTACACAGTATAATACATCAAATCACAAGTATGTCATAAATTTTACACAATTTTAAACAATAGAATGGAAATATTTCAATAATAATATTCTACACTATCAAGTAAAGGTAAATTAAAAATGAAAAGGAAATACTTCAATAATAATATTCTACATCATCAATACTAAAGACATATTTTAAAGGTAAATTAAAAATGTAGCGAAAATTAAAAATGAAATGGAAATATTTCAATAATAATATTCTAAATCATCAATTAAAAATGAAACGAAAATTTGGTAAAAATATCATTGCATTTGATATTTTAGTTCGCTAATTGATTAATTGACTAAAAATAAAAGAGAAGTAATTGGATGAAAATAAATATTATATTACTAATGGATTGAAAATTTAAAAGGAAATGAATATTAATAATTGACTGCAAATAAAAAATTATTCATAATTGACTAATATGAAAAAAATAAATGGTTAGATCATTGCATTTTAATTAAAATGGAAGGAAAACTAAAATTGAACGCCAATATTTCAATAATAATATTCTACATCATAAATAGTAAGTGCATATTTTTAACAATAGTAAAGGTAAATTACAAATGGAACAAAAATATTTCAATAATAATATTATACATCCTCAATTAAAAATGGAACACAAATTAGGTAAAAATATCACTCCATGTAATATTCTAATTGACTAAAAATACAAAAGAATAATTGACTGGAAATGAATATGATATTACTAATTTATTTAAAATATAAAAGGATCGCTAATTGACTAATATTATACCATTATATATTTTCACCGAGTCACCCATCCTGATCAATTGAAGGTGCTAGCTCTAGACGATGATGGACAACATTGTGTTGCTACTACCAATGTCGTCTACAAAGAGGTTTCAACAATGTGTAAATAAAATCGTTGATATTATATTTTTTAAATGACAAAATTGTTATATGTATAGACAAAAAAAAATATCCTCCATACAAATGATTTAAGATAACAATTCATTCATATAACTGAGTTGCTAGAGAACGAACACATTTGTATAATTTATAAAAAAATACTAAACAATGATAAAAAAAAAAATCTCCAAAGTTATAACACTACATGCATACATCTACACATTAGCTATTAATTTGAGCAATTATTTGCTTAAATTCATACAATGATAATATAAAAACACATAAATGATCCAACCCGTATATTCAATTGAACTATATAATATTTGATGTTCTAATTTAAATAATTATATATCGATCGAAATATTCTTAATATATTACAACAAATTTATTCCGTGCATCGCACGGACGCAAATACTAGTACCTTTAATAATAAAATTAAAGACAAGATGAACAATAAATACCTTTAATAAAATTAAAGACTACAATTAGAAAGATGAACAATAAATACCTTTAATAAAAAAACCAGAAATAATTATATTCGTATTCTGTACAGTTTTTGCCAAAATAAATTCGCTAGAAGGAGGGCTTGAACCTCCGACCTTGTGGTTAACAGCCACACGCTCTAACCAACTGAGCTATTCCAGCTACCTGACTGTTATTGTTTTGCATTTGTAATAGTACTCAAAGTAGTGGCAAAATGTGAAGAAGAGAGCATCGCCTTGGCCGCTTGTTCCGATCTCTCTCGCCGCAATTCTCTTCCAAATCACAATCTGCTTGGAATCAATCTCAGCTCGTACTATTCATCTCGCTCTTGCTCATGCCCGTCTCCAAGGCAAAAAACCTCGCCTCACTGCTCCGCTCCGGCGCCGCACTCGCCAAAACCACCGCCCCTACCGCTTCCGGAGATATCGCCGCAAAAAGATACGTCTCATCCGTCAGGTCTTCTGCCTCCACCGCTTCAGAATCCACTCAGAACCGCTTCGTTCACTCTTCAAACACTCAGTCTCCCTCCTTCAACTCCCCGTCCAAGCCACTGATTGGCGCATTCGATGGCTGCTCGGATGACCACTATAACGGTACACACCTGTTTCAGTTCGTTATGGTTACTGGAAATGATAACGAAGTTGATGTATGGCGTGATTTTTTGTTTTTGGCAGATGTATGGATATAGTTGTATATATGTTTTTTTTTTTTTGGTTTCAGTCTTTCGTTTGGCTAGTTTTTAATGTAAGGAGAGTGGAAGTACAATGTTCTGAGATAGCTTATTTGTTCCCTTTGTTCATAACAGAAGATCAGGAAGGGCTGCTGTCGCAGGAAATATCTTCCATATTGTGTGGTATGTATTCTGTGATTTTTGTTTATGAGATGCATTCATACAATTCTCCATTGTTGATTGACTGAGGTCCCCAATGTGATGATCAAAGTTTGTTTGTGAGTTCTAACTGTCAGTTGATGTTAAATTTCTGAGTTTAAGGGGGTGTTTGGTTGGATGGAAAACATTTTCCATGGAAAATGTTTTCCTAAAAGTGAAGGAAAATGATGTTTTATGTTGTTTGGTTGGATGAAAAACATTTTCCATTGAAAAAAGTTTTCCTTGAGAGTGAGGAAAACAAATTCCTAGCTCTTGTTAGGTATTTTGTTTTCCATGGAGAAGGTTTTCCATGGAAAACTAATATGACAATTTTACCCTTACCATTCTTTATTAATTACTCTTATTATTATTATATTATTGTTGTGTAGGGTTATATTTGTCATTATACACATTATTCCTTACCATTCCAAACTCAACCAAACAATGGAATTCATATTCCCAGTAATTTCTTTTCCACCAACCAAACAATGGAATCTATTTTCTTGGAATCTATTTTCCATGGAATTTCAATTCCATTTCCCTTCAAATATTTTCCAGCGAACCAAACGAGAAAAACCTGGAGGTTCTTCCCATCAATTGGGGTTGGCTATTCTTCAACCTGAAAATTTTGAAGTTTGTGAAACACAACATTCACAAACCAATGAAAACTAATGGTGAGTGCCCTAACCTAAAACCACCTACTCAAAGGGAAAGAATTTATTTATAAAGCTATAGAGGAATTTAAGTGGAGTCCTTTAAGGGCTAAAGGAGGCATAACAACAATTTGATGGAAATTTAAATTTGTATATAAAGCCCATACCTATTAATGCATTCTGCTAGGAAATAAATATAAATATTTTTAATTGAAATAAAAGTAAATTAAACAAATTCTGGTCCTATTTTACAATCTAGAGAAATATTTACTGTACCTAGTTGTTCAAGAACCTGACTCTACCTTATTTTTGGCTCTGTATGCTGTGAATGTTAAAAACTTATGATGAGGGGAGGTTTTAGGTGCTGTTTTTTACAATGAATGTGGTATCCAAGTTTTGCATAGGTGTAGTCTTATGATAAGAATATTAAAACATCACAGAAACAGAAATAGATAAGCAAACTCGAATGAAGAGATATGATGGAGTGTCCTCAAAGTAGGCAGAAGGATAGCATGCGGACTACTCTTTATTGCTTCAGAACTCCATTATAACAATCATTAGTGAGTAACAAAATGGTAAGCAACCCCATAATAGGAAGAGAAATGAATGCAGTGGGAGAGGGTAATACAACACATGCTTACTGGTTACTCTATAGTCTAAGCAAAACTCCATAGTAGCTGAGGCACAGATTTTTCCTTTGAGCATTCTGTCTTGGTGGGTCTGGTGGCCATTGGAGAGTGCAAATCCACCATATTTGGTTCTTCTGTTCCTGTTTGTATGTGCATACTTGACTAGCCTTACTACAAATTCTTCCCTTCTAGAAATGCAAAATTGGGATGCCTTCATAGATGCAGTTTTTAAAGATTTTTTTTGTTTTTGTTTTTTGGATAAATTACATTGATGCATTTTATTCAGATAGTTGTCTGGAATGTGTTGTTGCAATGGCTTGTCTTTGTGTGCCTATACATCAATTATAAATTGCATTATATCGATTATAAATCTATTTGATGTACCTTATTGGAGAGATGCTTCACCCACCCTTTTCTTTTTCTAGGAATTTCATTTCGGGTGTTGCGCATCATTCTTTCTATTTACATGATGTCTTGCATATGCATTTCTGTTGACTGCAGGTGATGTAGATTCAAAAGTGGTCAATCCACCAAAATCACAAGTGATTAGCAGAGATAAGACTTTAGAAAATGTTTTGGGTGTACCATGTATCTCAAACATTCCAAGTAGTGATGTATCTTTGCGCCGGAAGGAAGTTTCGCGAGAAAGGAAACAAAAGTGGGTTTTAAAGATCTGCCAAAAGACTCGTCTAGACCGCTTAGTTGAATTATGCTTTAACCAACTGGGAATAGATGCTACAGTTCAGGTATTCGGTAAACTTCGACGGGAAACTGGCCTGGTAGAATATAATGCATTGATAAGGAGTTGTATAGAAAAGGCAAGGATGATGGACAATGAAGAAGAGTCATTAAAGCAACTTTCTGTTGCATATAAATTTCTGAAATCAATGAGGGAGCAAGGTTTCCAATTACAGGAAGACTTTTATGGTCAAGTTCTTATGTATTTAATTGATTGTGGCATGGTTCCAGAGTTTCACTTTTACTGTGAACTCATAAGAGATGGAAATGCTGATTCGCTTCCAAATTTAGCTTACTATGAGATGTTGCTGTTTATAAAGACCAAAAATATTGATAAAGTAGAAGAACTCTGTTATAATCTTGCACTCTATGATGGCAAAGACAAAGACACCTTTCTAGGTTTGTAACTCTAAAGGTTCTAATGCTTTTTTGATCTTTTATGTGTTATGCATAAAAGTATTTTATGGTTCCTGTGAATTGTAAACATGCCATTTTATAGTTACCTGGCTCAGTGGTCAGTGGTTTGTGGGTTCTCTCTTTTTCATTGGGCTTTGCATGTGGGCTAGTCTTGATTTTTATTTTTACAATTTACAAAAGACATTGTTAAAGATTTCTCATTATTAATTAATCGATCTAAATCATCCCTCAGATTATCTGCAAATTGCCCCATTAATTTTTTTTAAATGTAAATTTAAGGCCATATCAGACCTAATACTTATCATAACTGTTGCAGAAAAATATCTGTTAGCAATGTCCAGTGGTGACTGTAAAGAGCAGTTTTTGCAGCTTTTGAATACTCTTGACATAACAAAAGTTACTTCCATGAAAAGTTTAACATGCATCTTCAAATCCTTGGGGAAGTTAATGTTGGAGAACATTGCAGAGAAGTGCTTTCTGGATTTGAAAACCAGTGGTAAGATAAAAATCAACATTATTATTATTTGGGGATATTACCTATTCTTGCTATTGTTAGATGACTTAGATCATGGTTTTTCTTAAGGCAAAGATTTCTTGTTAGGCTTCTCATATATGAATTGACATAACAGTTTATGTATCTGGTGAAAACAGCTTACTGGGCATTACTTGTGTCAGTTTATGGTTAAATTGGTATACGTCTTAGAATGAACAGATAGTTGTTTTACTTTGTATATTGTGAATCTCAAATCTATGACACATTGACACATCTCCCTGATGCAGATGTTGAAGCAGAAAAAATCTCGAGTTTCATCTTTGAATACACCACAAGTGTGCCAAATTTAGCAGTGAGGAACTTATCTTGAATACTAAACTTAACTTCTTGGATCCTACAATTTTTGTGACCCTTATACTTTGCAAATACATCTGTATATATGTAAAGAATTAAGTCAATTAACTTGAAGTGTCTGAGCATGCCAAATCTATCTCTGATGAACCTTCTCATGAGTGGTTCTTGTAATATCTTAGAAAAGCCTTCTGCTTCATGAGATTATGCCTCCATGAGAAATTTAATCTGATTACATAAATGTAGATTAAAAAATTGTGTTTGTTGATTATTACCCACCCCCTCCATCGTGTCAAATCTTTTCTCTAGAATAGCGGTTTTCACTATCACAACTCAACTTTAACTGCCTGAACCTTAATCCAAACTAATTGGGGTTGACTATATGGATTCTTTCCCTAATCATAAGTTTCAAAAACTTGTATTGTTCCTTTTCTTCATATTTTATAACTATCTGTTGGACTTTAGAATGTTAAGGCCCTTAACTTTGCATCTAATCATATTTTCTCTAGTTTATTTGATACATATTTTCGTTCAAGGTTTTAGGTTTCCAAGTGGAGGACTTTATGCTTCACTCCTGATTGTGTCCTCTGATTGACTCTGTTGTGGATTTGAAAGGTTGAAGACATTGTTCTTAAATTCAAAAATTTGCATGCTGAGATGGATGTGACACCCTCATCTGCACAATGGGAGAAACTCATTAAGTTCTCCTGTGAATTGCTTAAGGTAATATCTCATACTTCTTTAGAAGTTTCATGGTGATGTTAGTAACTGGATAACTTCTTGATGCAAAATACCTGCAGTTCTCTTAAGTGGTGGATTTGCAAGCTACTCTGACATTAGGTTTCTTTATGTTTTGCAATTTAGGTACACATTGCGCTTGACATTGTAGACCAGATGTATGAACAGGGTTTGGCTTTATCAATAGAGGCATTTAATTTGATATTAGGTGCATGTGAAGAAAGCTACGAGTACAATTTGGTACGCTGCATTTTTCTATTATTATGTTCTAATTATGATCCTTAATAATCTTGAACAGCAAATTTTGTTGGAAGAGTTCGGTAGATGACTGCAATTGATTTTGTTGTGCAAACTGCAAAGTGTTCTTGTATGTGCTTCTGATAGGGATGTGTTATGTGGATCACCAAATGAATGGTGTGCTGTCATGGGAACATGCTCCCCAATTTTCCATGTAGGTACATGTGGATGCATTCATACACCACAGTGATATTCATTAAGACAATAAGGGCAGAATATGAAAATATTGAGAAGCATTTATCCGTGAGAAAAAAATTGAATAGTAATGCCTTCGGTCTTTTTCACCAGGAGCGCGTTTTCCTTGTCATATTATTTGCTAAATCATTAAATCAACTACCAGATGATTGCTAATGTGAGGGAGTTTCTACTGAGTCTCCTTGAAGTGTGGACTTTTAAAGTTACTTGAAGCTCTAACTGCTATTATTCTCTTCTTTCTTAAACAGTCTATTCAAATTTTATTTGTATTTCTTTACTATGACTAACTTTCATCGATAATATACTTTCTAGAGGAAAATGTTTACCAGTCTTCTTGTACTTTTATTTTCTTTGACTATAAAATGTCATTGTGTTTGTAATTCATCTATAGTTTGTGTCATTAATTACTGTATGTAGTGGACCAAAATGATAATATGCTATTTATACTTTGTAAGATTTGTTTATGCGTTAAATTTTGCATTAGATAACTTTCTATTTTTCTGTGTATCAAAAGGTTCGTCGGATGCATTCAATAATAAGTTGCTATAATCTGAAGCCAAACAGCGAGAGCTTCAGAATGATGATAAACTTGAGTGTAAAAATGAAAGACGTGAGTCTCGACTTGACACTTCAATAGCTCGTGGTTGCTTTATTCTGAGTCCTAACTTGGAAGCATTAACAAGTATGTTTCATGTTTCTTCTATGCAGTTTGCGGGTGCATATAACTTAACCAGTGATTTGCAGAAATTCAATTTGATGCCTACGGCAAGCATGTACAATGCCATAATGGGTGGCTATTTCCGTGAGGTGGCTTTGTTGGCTTCATTCCTTCATCTTTATATAAATTGAATTCTTCTGATTTTTGAAATAGAAATTCTTTGATAGCATCATATGTGACATCATAAGTGGGTGAGATGGTGAACGATCACTAGCTAGGAAGGGCACATAGTATTGGGTGTTATGTCTAGACCCAATAAATTTGCCATTCTAGACAAGGTGGCTTGGGGTGTCACTGCATTAATTAAAATGAATGTATTGACTCATATGCTATAAGAAGAGAATGCACTCTTTTTTTAAAGAAACACAAAGATAGACAAGAGGGGGGACATAGACCAAAACCCTCAAAAGGAAAAGATGCAATTTAGTGTAAATATATACACATGTGGTTCTATATCCATATGGTTGCTTAGTGTGATGTATTTTATTTTAGCTCACCGAAAGTTTTGAGTTCAGTGAAACTATACGAGTATGCCAGTAGATATAGATAAGCTAATGCTATATCATGGCTGAGTTTTGATCATTTATGCTATTATGCATTAGTGCTTGACTAAAACTTCTCAATTATCTGCAGAAAAACATACACGGTGGATTGATGGTTCTCAAACAAATGGAAGATGCAAAAGTGAAACCTGACTCACAAACTTTTAGCTATCTTTTAAGAAACTGCAATTGTGAAGATGATATCATTAAGGTCTCAAAGTTCCATTCTCTGTTAAAAATCTCGGGTTAGTTACTGGTGGAGTGGTGGGGTTAAATCAAATTGGGTTTAAAGATTTTGCACATTTGGTATCCGTATCTTCTAAATATTGGGAGATGCCAACTACATCTCATACAGTTCATGTATTACTTGATCTTGAAATAATTTTTTAAAACATCTCAATTCAAGAAATGATCTCTCTGATCCCTGAATTTAGACTTGGTTTAGTGATATGTTACATTGTTACTTGTTGATGCACCTTTTCCATATTGAGGGAATTATTTACTTTTATTTTTTATATTTTATATTTTAAAAGACATTGATCGTAAGCTGTATGTGCTCACTTGGTGCGGGAGTATTTCATATGTAGTTTATTATTTCCTTGCATTGAGATTTGAGTGAGTATATTTTGCTGTAGAATGAAAGTCAGACATGGAAGTTTGATTATTGCCATTTAATACAAGATAGGACATAACAACTCTGCAAATGAAGTTAGAGTTTTCTACTAAAGCCTTGTACTCTTGTAATGCAAGCCTCTTTGAATTACTTTAACCAATTGTTAAAGAATTTGCTAAGTCAATAGATTTATCTGCCATTGAGAGTGTCTATTATGATTTTTCCCATTGATTAATTGATTTTCTCAAAATTATCTGTTTCTAACTTTCAATTACTTTTTATAGGGACCTGTTTGAGTGTAGTAGTAAGTTTTTTCTTTTAATTTCTACTTCTGTGCATGTAACTGCTTCTTGTGACTATGTTAAAACATGATGTGGAAAGCCGTGTAACAGTTTTCAGTTTGGTGATCTTTTTTGTAGTTTTATGATGAGTTGACACTTTCTGGGGTTCAAGTCACAAAGCATGTTTATATGGCCCTTATAAATGCATATGCATCCTGTGGACAGTTTGAAAAGGCTAAGCAGGTAATCAACATGTATTTATGACGCTTCAATTTTGTATTTCTAAAGTACAAGAATTTTCTCAGTATCACTCTTTCAGCATCTTTTCTCAGATATAAACTAATCAATAACACTAATCTATTGAGTGCAGGTAATCTTGGGCAAAGGGATACCAGTAAAGAACTTAAATGAAGTCAAAAGTATGCTTGTTTCAGCTCTTGCGGCACACGGTCAAGTATCAGATGCCCTTGAAGTGTACGAAGAAATTAAACAAGCTAAATGCAATCTGGATCCCAGATCAGTTTCTCGTCTTATTGTAAGTCTGTTATGTTGCATCATTTTTTTATTCTAAAGGTCGTTCTTAATTTCTTATGTCTTTGGGCCTTTAAGACTAACCACTCTTAGCAACTCTCCAGGATCATCTACAGTCTGAAGGGGAATTTAATAGACTACTTCAACTACTTGATGAATTAGATGAGCGGAATCACTGGATTGGAGCCTGTTTTAAAGTTATATCATATTGTGTTCGACATGAAGACTTAAGGTTCCATTTTTTACTCTTTCTAAAAACTATTTATTTTGATCCATCAAGTGTAAAACATCTCAGCTCTTTAAGAAGTTATATATGGGAGTGAGCATGCTTATATATGTGTCTTTGATGTTCCCAGATCTGTCATAGAATTGCTCAAGAAACTTAAGGATATGTACAACGATGATGAGGTGGCTAGGGAGGTTCTCTTTGATGAGGTTCTGCTCTTTATTTCTGAGAAACATAAATTGATTGTCAATATATGTTTTCAATGGATTGATGGCATACAAAGTGCTAATATATATATATATATATCCTGGTCATCATGAATTAGGTTTTCTACCGCATTGCAGAGAAAGAACCAAGAACCATGCATTTTGGCTGGAATCTGCTTCAATCTATTAAGAAAGATATTGGTCTTCGCCCATCTCGAAAATGTCTGGATTTCCTCCTAAGCGCTTGCATAAGTGCCAAAGATTTACCGACTTGTTTCAAAATCTGGGAGGAGTATATAGAAGCCGGTCTTCCTCACAACTCTCTAAGTTATTTGAGGTAATTTGCCCAGTTATGTCATCTTTATTTTCATTTTCTTGGTTAATAATCCTTTGGTGGATTCAAATTTGCTAAAGATCAAATTAATGAATGTCATTAACCCTACATCATCATAAATCATAATCTATAATTAGTTTATCTGAAAAGGTGGAAATTAATTCATTTTCTGGGAAGAAATGACAAGGTTTGCTCATAATTTGTCTGCATATTCTCATGGAACATGAAATCATGAATTGCTCTATTTTATTATTACTCGAGAAACTATCCCACATGCATGCATTATGTTATATAGTTATAATAATAATACGAACTTTCATACAGACACAATGGATTTGCAGATACAATTCAAAGTGTTATTTACAACTCAATGTCCATGCAGGATGTACCAAGCTCTTTTGGCATTGGGGTCACAAAAATCCGCTAAAAATATGTTGAGTAAAATCTCAAAAGAAGATCCACATGTTCGTGCTGTCATTTATGCAAGCCGAGCAGCATACAGAAATGGTGCTCCAGTTGGAGGGAAGAAAAATGCAAAAGCGGATTTGAGGCCGGAAACAATGAACATATTGAGCAAACTGGAAGCGAATTACAAGTAGTGAATGAGATTGAAGCCCAAGTGATTTATACTTGAAAGATTCCAATAGCTTCAAACACTAGTTACCTATTCACGTCTCCTGCTCGAGATGATCAGTATTAATTTTATAGCTTGCAGTCAAATGGCAGAATTCCCCTTGAGTTGATCAAAAACTGTGCTAGTAAACATGTTTTCTGTTCTTCAGTCTTTCAGTTTTTCAGAAAACTTGAGAAATTCTTCAGTTAGTAAACAGGTTCTAGGTCGTTGTGTTTGTGTGATTCTTTGGCTAGGCATGATCTGTTTCTGTATCTCTGGATTATCTGCGGCTAACCTTGTACATAGCATTATTTATTAATGAATTTTCGTAGTGTATCGTAAGCAGTTTTGGGATGTGAATTTAAGTTGCGCTTGCGGGTGTCGTAGTTATATCGTGCATCAGGGCACACAATGCATTGTGTGCTTCGTCCGGCCTAAAATGACATCGTTTGTTAAGTTGTGTGAGGAATTAATGCGACGGAGTTTATGTATATTCTGTTATACAATTATGTACATTCTATTATATAATTAAATTATTTTTTAATTTTCTAGTCTAGAATGTTCTTAACTTTCCCAATTACTTGAGTCCCAATTGATTTCTTAATTATATTCTGGATCGAACTGGGATTATTATATAATTTTCTATTAAAAAAATTTCCTAATACTATACATAATTGGATTGAAAGATTATCTCAATACTAAACTTAGTTGGATTGAGATTATCCCAAGTCTATATAATACTTTGGTACCCAACACTTGGTGGATCATCAATTCCAATTCATCATCATCAACCTTACTATATAGGAACCTTAGTACTCATAATATGCCTTGCGAAAAGTTGGAACTCCTAGGTGGGGGAGCCCATGGTATTGTGTTTCTCTCTCAATATTATAATCCACCTACTTTCAGTGTTCTAATGAAGTTAGCCATAAAGTCTTCGAAGGTCGAGTCTTCATGTTTACTTTTGGGAGAAGCACAAATCTTGAGAAAGTTGCAAAGATGTCCCTATATAATTCAGTGTTTAGGAGAGGATACGAGCATAGAGCATGGAAACACTATGTACAATCTTCTGCTGGAGTATGCTCCCGGTGGAACACTCAAGAGATTGATGAATTCCAGGGAAGGATTCATCCCAGAGGACGAGGCTTCACTATATGCTTATCAACTTTTGAAGGGAATCTTAGAGGTGCATCGTCTCGGGTTTGTCCATTGCGATTTGAAGCCCAACAACATTCTTATCTTCCCATGCAGGTGCGGCTGCGGCTTCAATCAGCTCAAGATAGGCGATTTTCGGCTATCTAAGGCCGCCGGAGAGGGAGGTCACCAGGGAACTTTACTCTACACCTCCCCGGAATCTCTGTTTTGCGGCATGCATGAGGCGCCTAAGGATATATGGGCCATAGGGTGCATGGTGGCGGAGATGATGGCCGGGGAATCACCTTGGAGGTTTTGTAACGGTAACAACAACGATAAGTTAGTTCAAGACATGGCCTTCAAGCAACCCCAAATCCCAACCGGCATATCTGATCATGCCAAGGATTTTTTGATGAAGTGTTTCGAAAGAAACCCAAACGTTAGATGGACTGCTGATAAGCTACTCAATCATTCATTTGTTGCCAATACCCATAATCTGCTGCTATGCCAAAGATGGGAGGATCATCAAGCCTTGGGCAATAGGCCTTTTGGGACCTCTAGTATTGACTTATTTTCCACTCCGATTTCGCCATGCACTTGCGGTTGCAGTCAAGGGATAAAGTCATAAAACTAATAGGCAGGGCATAGGAAAGGAATAAGATTTTAGAAAAGAAAAGGACATTTCAAAACAAACTTTATGTTAATTTTTTTTAGTTTTTGTAAGTTATTGATCTGTGCTTACCTTTGTAATCTTGAAATATAAATGTCAACTTTTCTTTTACATTTTTCTGAAATTTCTTTGTAATTTCTACTGATTATGAAGTTTAGTGCAAATCTCTGTTTGTGCCCAATTCTTTTAGATGTAATAGGGTTTTTATATGTATTTAATAGGGTTTAATTTTTTATGTTTGAATAATTAATACTTTAGGCATATGAAGATGTAACATCAAATAACGTGCTCCATTTCTCAGTGATCTGAAGTTGGTTTTGGTACTCTTGTTAATTTGTAGGGACATATATATTTTTATACTCATTATTCCTTAAAATTTCAAATTTAACCAAACAATAGAAATTAGTATTCCCAGTAATTCTTTTTACACCAACCAAACAATGAAATTAATCTTCTTAATAATTATTTTTCCATGGAATTTCAATTCCACTTCCCTTAAAATATTTTCCACGAATCAAACGAGCCTTTAGTGTTCTGATGAAGTAAGTTGGAAAGTCTCACTCATTTCTCTTTTCTAATCACACCTATAAAATCCTACCACTATTGAGGATGCCCTAAGTATATAATGAGTTCTATTACGAGGACTTCTACTATTCTATAAATTATATTTCTTGATGTGACAAACATGAATACAACATTTGATATGGTGGATCAAGAAAGAAAAATACTATGTTCACTCCAATTTTTTACTTTTCAGTTTTACTTAACACATAAAGTTAAATAATTTATCAGTATCCGTTACATTATAAAATAAAATTTAGAAAGTCCATCTATAGTATAACTGTCAAAGAAAAAGTTGTCTATATTTCGTATAAGTAATACTCGTAGTAATTAATGTATTGGATCGAAGTGTAAGCCTGAAACCCCAAAGATATGTAACCGTGGAAAACTGAGCGGAAATATTCTGAAAGAAGGGGGGAAAATATGAAATGAACAAACATTCCCTAATTTCAAATTTATCCACTCATCGATTCATCAAAATTCCAAAACCTATAAATTTGCGGCACAAAAATCTGCAAATTATGAACAGAAATTTCATATGGGACCTCACCTGAAGAGAAAACGCACTTCCACCTTCATAGAATTGGTCAGCTCAGGCGCCCAGCCAAACCCCTCCCCTGTTCCGTATGATTGCATATTTCATGCATGTGGAGGGTTCGCTTGCTCGATCTGGCCATTCACAAAAACCCTATTTGAAGGGATTTGGATTAGAAAACATTATTATTATTATCGGTTTGTGGTTCGACAGGCTATGAACGATCCAATTTATTGGAGATAATCTCGTTCTCGCATGCCATATTTCAAGTTGGGCGCTGCATTTATGAATTTGATCACCTAATGTGGCCCCTCCTGTGAAAAGGGCGTTTCATTTAAAATTTTAGGGTGATATTTGGAGTGGGGTTATACTCCAAAATTTGATTTTATTTGTTTTTTAATGAATTCTAGGTATCGATTACTAAGAATTGCAGAAGTATATAATTTGGCCATTTGTAAGTGGTGTGCATCAGATATAAAATTCGGTTTGGTGATTATTGCTGCAAAGACTTGAGTTTTGGGCTCTGTCAAGCAAGGGGGATGCTTCATAGTCAGCTCGTGCAAATTGGAGGTTTTGGAGTTGATTTTCGGATGATACAACAAGTGTTGAGTGGATTTCGGTCTGCTGATTCAAGACCAAATGCATATCAAAAGAGTACTTCTGTTAATTGTTTCCGTGTTTCTGCATGTCAGTACTGGGGCAACAAGTTTAGAGAACAGGAATAGCCCAGAAGAGGATTTACTGGCCAGTCTAATCAAATATGGAGGGATAAATCATGACCAGGTAGTAGTTGGGCATGCATGTTCTAGTTATGCCTATTTTTGGCTTGTTCAGTTTATCACGGATCCGCATTTTGATGTTGATGGGAATGATTAGTGGTTCTGCTATTACTGCTTGCTCTCATTAAGTTGCATTTATAATCAAATTATCAATCCTAGGTAGCTGCATTACCATGTTCTAGCAATTTATCTTGTTGAAACAGGACAGTTTGTTTTTTTGGTACTTCTATTAGGGGGTGGGATTGATGGGATTCAAACCCAAGACTTCATGATGATATGGTCCCTGCTACATTTGTATGGCCTCTATTTTCTTTTCGCTACCAAATAAATGAGGATCAACCTTGGTCCCCCACAGAACCTCCATTTTGATTTGTATTTGCAACATACCATACATTGTGGTTGCCTCTATTTTCTTGAGTTCTGATTACTAGGGGATCAATTGTGGCCCCCCATGTACCTGCAATATACCAGCCATAAGTGAGGGTGTCATCAACTACTCAACTAAGTGACACATTATTTTCTTGTTGCCTATGTTGTTGACATCTCAGTGCTGATAGAGCTTCTTGCACTTTTTTACTTAAATTTTTGTTTGCTGCTGATAATATGGCTATTGGAATACCATAATTTGCCATATTTAGGGTTCTCCAGGGTTAGGAAGGAGATTAAGCCACATGAACACACAATGATTTAAGTGGGTACCTGAATGGCGGTAGAAAACCATTTGAAATGGCACAGTTTAGATAATTGAAGGGATTACCATCATTTTAATGTTGAAACTTGAAGGATATCCTAGAGTACCAAGATATTACAAAAGAATTGCTAGTGCACTTATATGTGTAAGGGAGAGTTTCTTGTGCTACAAGCCAACTTCCAAGTTTCAAAATAGGCCTCCATTAGTTGGATGGGAGATGCTATCTATTAATTTCCCAAGTATGTGATGTGCTGATCAATGACAAGTATCCTATGGGAATATCAAATGCTTTCCTTTGCTGTTTCATTTTAAAAAATAACAATAATTTTTCAAGTATTTGCTGTCCTGATTAACTAAGAAGGTCCTGTAGAAATATCAAAAGCAAAATGTGTTTTTTTTTCTCCATTTAGTAGGTATCTGAATGTAATGCTTGATTGCTTGGGGATCAAATCAAGCAGCTTTTTTGTTTTCCTGTTTTCTTTGTGAATCAAAAGAATGTGCTTTCTGTGATATAAAGGCCCAGTAGAGTTCCTTCAGTTAGTATCTTAAGCTAATCATGGGGATCAAGTGTATCTTCCCATTTGTCTGTTTCTTTTCCAACACTCTCTTCATGCAACTTAATTGATTCTCTGAGAATATCTTGGTTTATTTATTTCTTTTTGGCTGGATAAATTGTGCATACCCTTTTCTTGGTGAACTTGTATAAAATATTAATTTCTCTGTCATATTATTGTTATTATTATTATTACTGCTGTTGTTGTTGTTATTATTTTAAGGGGGCAGAGTGATGTGAAGTGCAAACATCTTAGTTACTTGACAAGAACATTGTCATTAACTTTTGTAACAATTTGTAATAGTGTGAACATTCTTGTGCAGACAATGTGACTTCATACTTTGTGAACATTCAATTACATACTATGGGAACATACTAGTGGCATAGGATGTGAACATTCATTATATGCTCTGCTCTGCTAACATTGATTTGATATCTGCAGAACGTAACTATTTTATTTAATGGCTTGTTTATTTATGTTTTTTTTTTTTAAAAAAAAATGGTTTTGGGTGGGGGGAGGGGTGATATTATTGAAAGGACTAGTTGCTCAATGATGCAGTACAGGATGCTATGCGATGACTGGTATATTTTTAAACTGACAGAGAAAAGCTGATTTTCAAAAGTTTTGATAAAGTGAGCTAGGAAGAGGTATTTGGTTGTAGTTCCTTGGAACATGGTGTTTCTTAACTTGTCCAAGCCAAATGCTGACCAAGTCTGAACACTGAATAACCACTTAAAGAGGTCAATGTGATGTTTTTAACGTAGCTGTGTTAGTGTGTCATAATCCATAATCCAAGTAGCAAATGTTGCTAGATCTAAAACTCAGCAATATTATCCATTATAATGCCTATTGACTTATTGCACTGTTTCTTAATTGCTTATAAGAGAATATTTCACTTTTAGTCATCGACTATTGTGGCATTGACACATATAGTCCTACTCTTTTAATTTTGCCACATTACATCATTGACTTTCATTTCCTTGCCACATTTAGTCCTTTTAACATTTTGTTATTACACCATTTAATAAATATGGCTAACATGAAATTTCATCATTCAAGTAAAGAAGTTTACAAGAGAATGAGAGAAATTACATGTTAGGGCTATAGGCTTGAATGATAAAATTACATGTTAACCCTCTTTATTAAAAGATGAAATGACAAAATTAAAAAAGGTGGACTGGCAAGCAAAAATAAAAAATAAAAGGTGGACTAAATGTGGCAAGCAAATGAAAGTCAGGAATGTAATGTGGCAAAATTAAAAGAATAGGACTAAATGTGGTAGTGCCACAATAGTCGATGACTAAAAGTGGAATTTTCTTCTTGTTTATAACATAGCTGAATTCTGTGAACTAGACAAGCATATTATTAGAAAAGGATTTCAGGATTTTATGACAATTCAACTAAGAACAAATAGAATTTGATAGTTAAGGCCTTAAGGGTTAGATTTTTGGTTAAACTTAAAATGCATTTTGAAGTGAATATTAAGTAATGAAGAACTGATGGAATGTATCCATATTTGATGAATGTTTCTTGCTGCAGGCTGAGTTAATATGGTTAAACTGTAGGATAGAGTTGATCCATGCTAAGGAAGCAGTTGAAGATCTTGAATTTTCTGTCCAAGTGGATAAGTATAAAGGGAACAGGGAAATAATTTCTAATGGTAGACCATCAACAAAAGAAGAAACGCAAAAAAGCGTAAATATCTTGCACCCATTTGTAAAACAAACCCTTCTGGATTGTTCAAGGGAGAAAAATCTCATGTTTCTTGTCTCTGGAGAGGAAAGTGTTTCAAAAACTTTGTATAGCAAGTGCTTGGACTTCTTATTTGTGAGGCCTTGTGCTCCTAAACAACGTGAATTATTTCAGAGCTTTGGAGAAATACCTGCTCCATCCCCCATAGTTGCATCACATAGTCCAAAACCATCAAGGCCTAAAGTTGCTAAATCTTCACCGGATGCTGATCCTCCAGTGCAGCCATTCAATCCACGAAAACTCAGTGATACTGCCACTGTTAAAAGTTCTAAAACAAATTTATCCTTTAGTTTAAAAGCAGAATCATCTGGCGAAAGTTCTGCTCCAGTTGCTGCAGCTGCTGCAGTGGTATTGGTTGCAGTTGCCTTGCTGGCCGTATGCTGTTATATGATTTGTGGGGGCGGATCTGGAATTGGACAGAATGATGAGAAGCCTCTCCTGAGCTTAAGTTCTGCTGGTAAATTCATTTTTTCATTTGTCACTTCCTGACTTCATGCTTTGTAACTGACTTGCTTTCTAATTTACTCATCTTTCTCTGCCTTCAATGTTTCAGCCTCTTCACAGAAGTCATTTTCTTTGGGCACTTCATTAAGTAATAGCAAGAGTGGTAATATTTCATTTCACAACTCCAATGATAAAATGGATTGTAATTTGTTTGTGGAGCCACAGACACTCGGCAGCTCTAGAATGGAGATCCCAGTGGGAAATGACTCCATTCCTGTCACCCCGATAGAAGATTCTGCTCCCCTGAAGCCTCCCCCAGGCAGAGCTGGACTGCCTCCCCTGAAGCCTCCCCCTGGTAGGACAGTTCTGCCACCCCCTCCTGGAAAGACAGCTCCTCCAGCACCAGCACAAGCACCAGAACCAAAACCAGAACCAGAACCAGAACCAGAACCAGCACCAGCACCAGCACCAACACCAACACCAACACCAACACCAACACCAACAACAACATCAACACCACCACCCCCTCCTCCTAATGCATCATCTTCTGCACCTCCCGCACCTCCTCCTCTAATACCATCCTCTGGTGGACCCGCTGCACCTGGACCACCTCCTCCACCTGGTGCCAAGGCTGGTCCTCTTCCCCCACCACCTCCAGGTGGAGCAGGTCGCGGAGTGCCTCCACCACGTCCCCCTGGCCCTGGTGGCGGCCGCCTCGTAGGATTTAGGCCACCTCAGGCACCTTTTGGACCAGGGGGTTATGAAGACGACAGTAATAAAGCTAAACTGAAGCCTTTCTTCTGGGATAAGGTTCTAGCCAACCCTGATAGTACAATGGTTTGGAATCAGATAAGAGGAGGGTCATTCCAGTGAGTCTCTTTATAGTTTCAACTTTTTATTTTTGAAGTTGCTTAAGTCTTTTATACAGTAATGCACTCAATGAACAATATCCCTTTTGTCATAGGTTTAATGAAGAGATGATCGAGACTTTATTTGGTGCTGCTCCAGATAAAAACAAGGCTGGAGCAAAGAAAGAGAAAGTAGAAGAAAAACCTCAGTATGTTCAAATTATTGATCAAAAGAAGGCACAGAACTTATCAATTCTCTTAAAAGCTTTAAATGTGACAACCCCAGAAGTTTGTGATGCTCTGAAAGAAGGTGATTATTTTTTCCTTTAGATGTTAAGATAAACTCCCATAGAATATCAAATAATTAATCTTTTAGGTGCTGCAAGAGAAATTTTTTCCCGGAATGGTAATATGTGTTTAGTCAGAAAATCAGGAGATTACCTGCACAGTTGTGCAGTGAGGGATTGAAGGTGGGGTAATTCTTATTGAGATAGCGTTGGAAAGTTTTTGAGGTCATAGTTTCCTATCCCTTAAATAAAAATGAAATAAATGTGTGTTTGGTTCTCAAAGGTTTAGTATTAAGTCTGTATATTTAGCAAAAAAATTCGAGACTGCATTATGTTAACTTTATTTATACTTGGAATTCAAACACATTAATTTTCAATAATCAAGATTTATGCGATGCTTGTTGAAGTTTTTTTTTTTTTTTTTGTTCACACGTGCTTTTTCCCCCACAGTTCCATTTGTTGTGACAATACAGAAGCATTGCTTCTTTGACCTATGAAGGCTCCCAGGGCCAACTACTACAACTACTATATTATTAATTGTGACAGTCTGGCATCAAGAATGATCATTTGTGAGATTGTCAAATAGTTATGTTTCTTGAAAGTGGATATTCCTGCTCTTCTTTGTTGCTGACTTCACAGTATTAAAGCTGTTGCTAACCTTTTATAGTGAATCAGGAAATGAGCTTCCAGCAGAACTAATTCACACTTTGCTGAGGATGGCACCAACATCTGACGAGGAGTTGAAACTGAGGCTCTTTACTGGTGAACTTTCACAACTTGGAGTTGCAGACCGATTTTTGAAAGTCTTAGTGGAAATTCCATTTGCCTATAAGAGGCTAGAAACATTGCTTTTTATGTGCACGCTTCAGGAGGAAGCAGCAATGGTTAAAGAGTCATTTTTAACCTTAGAGGTAGGTATTAATTTTTCGTGATTGCTTTGATAACTGGAGACCTTTAGCACAGTTAACCACATATAGGGTGAACTAATTTGAAACTATGTAATTTGGTCCATGGTCATAGGAAAACTAACCAAATGCATTCTAAAGATTTCTTCTTTTACAAAAACCATTCTAACCTGAAATGATTTAGTGATTGATTGGACATTGTTATACATCAAGCACTTGGGGCTCTCCTCCACTCCTTTATGCCCCTTCATAATTCCTCTTTGGACTTGGTTGTTGGACAGCTAGAATTTCCACTCCATTTTTTTTGGTAACATTCAAGTATCCTAATCATGTTATAATCTTATAGGTAGAAATAAATCAGAAAATAAAAAATAGTCCTAATCATATCCCCTACTTCCCCAAATGCCTTCCACTAAAAAATCTCTGCAATTTGAAATGTGTTATTTAAACTACATCTAACTAGAAACTTAAAATTAAAGAATGGGTTTTTGAAAGTCTTAGGCAAGAAATGGGTTCTCAATCCTGTATAGTTTTGTGACTTCATTCATTTACTGTTTTCTTTCTTGTGGACGTGTAAAATTGATGTTCCTATTTTCCGGAAAAATCTCTCTAATCAGACTTGTTTTCTTTTTAGGAATTTTGACTTTGTAGAGATAGCCATGGCAACTTAACTGAAATACTAGTGTGATGACCCAGTGCTAACTCTCATATTTATCTGATTTTCCTAGTCCTGGAGGCTGGAGCGCCGTTTTTGTATCTGTATATCACCATCTTGTCGTCATGTTGCAAACATCTTCTGTCAGAAATCTGCCTTGCCTTATCTTTTTGTCAAATATATTAAAGACCAAAACCCGATAAATACTCATCATCTTCTTGTCCAGCTGTGCCATGCTTGTCAATTCACTTGACAGCTATCACCATTCTCAAATGTTTGAAACCATTCATTTTCTTGTTAGTAAAGAATCATTGCCTTGCTAGTGCAAATGAAGAGTTTCTCAGAAAGATTCATACATGTCTAGCTCACATAGCATCTGATATTGGTAGCATCGATTTTGAACTCAAAAGTAGTTCAATTCATTTTGTACTTGTTTCTTGGAAATATTTCAGGTTTGACTCTTGCTTGTCCTTTTATCCAGGCTGCCTGCGGCAAACTCCGGAAAAGCAGGCTATTTCTCAAACTCCTAGAGGCCGTTCTAAAAACTGGCAATCGCATGAACTCTGGAACGTACCGTGGTGGTGCACAAGCTTTCAAACTGGATACGCTTCTAAAACTATCTGATGTGAAAGGAAAAGATGGGAAAACTACCCTTTTGCACTTTGTTGTTTCAGAGATAATCCGCTTGGAAGGTTTACGAGCTACCCGAGCAGCAAAGGAACTGAGGAGCATATCAAGCATCAAGTCTGATGATCTGTCACTGGAATCTCCCCCGGAATCAGAAGATTATATTCTAAGTCTTGGTCTGGAGGTTGTGTCAGATTTGGGGACTGAGCTTGAACATGTCAAGAGAGCTGCACTTATAGATTCGGATAACTTAACTGGAACAGTTGCTAGGCTTGGTCATGGATTACTAAATGCCAAGAATTTTCTCACCTCAGAAATGAAGAGTGTAGATGAAGAGACTGGGTTTCGCGAGACACTAGAGAGTTTTTTGCAGAGTGCTGAGGGTCAAGTCATGGGGTTGCTTGAACAAGAGAAGCAAATCATGGCTCTAGTGAAGAGCACAGGCGATTACTTCCATGGAAATTCAGGGAAGGATGAAGGTTTGCGCTTATTTGTTATAGTCCGTGATTTTATGTTAATGCTAGATAAGGTGTGCACAGAGATAAGAGCTCAACACCTTAAGAAAAAGAAAGAAGCAAAGAAAGAGAATCCCAGTGGTGCACCTTCAGAACCCCCCAAGCCCACTCAACCTGTTAGTAAACCTTCAGAACCCCCCAAGCCCACTCAACCTGTTAGTAAACTTTCAGAACCCGCCCAATCCACTCAACCTGTTAGTAAACCTTTTGAACCCGCCCAATCCACTCAACCTGTTAGTAAACCTTTAGAACCTATCCAGTCCACTCAACTTGTTAGTACACCTTCTTCAGAAGAACTCGCCCAGTCCACTCAACCTGGTAGTACACCTTCTTCAGAAGAACCCGCCAAGTCCACTCAACCTGGTAATACACTTTCAGAAGAACCCGCCAAGTCCACTCAATTTGGTAGTACACCTTCTTCAGAAGAACCCGCCAAGTCCACTCAACCTGGTAGTACACCTTCTTCAGAAGAACCCGCCAAGTCCACTCAACCTAGTAGTACACCTTCTTCAGAAGAACCCGCCAAGTCCACTCAACCTGGTAGTACACCTTCTTCAGAAGAACCCGCCAAGTCCACTCAACCTGGTAGTACACCTTCTTCAGAAGAACCCGTCCAGTCCACTCAACCTGGTAGTACACCTTCTTCAGAAGAACCCGCCAAGTCCACTCAACTTGGTAGTACACCTTCTTCAGAAGAACCCGCCAAGTCCTCTCAACCTGGTAGTACACCTTCTTCAGAAGAACCCACCCAGTCCACTCAACCTGATAGTACACCTTCCTCAGAAGAACCCGCCAAGTCCACTCAACCTGGTAGTACACCTTCTTCAGAAGAACCCTCCCAGTCCACTCAACCCGTTAGTACACCTTCAGAAGAACCCGTCCAGTCCACTCAACCTGTTAGTACACCTTCAAAACCTCTCCAGCCCCCTAATCCCAATCGCATTCCCATTCCCATTCCTCATCAAAGGCTTCACCCAGCAATCATTGGAAGGCGAGTAGATAGTAGTTCAAGTTCTGATGAGGATGAATGAGGCTTCTTAGTTACAACATCTCAAGTGTGTAGCTTGAAGGCCGGGCTTGTTGCAGCTGTAGAAACCAACCACTTCAAGAACTATTGCCAGCCATATATACACATCTTACTTACTCCTGCCTGCAATCCCAATCCCGCCTTGATACAAGTCTTGCGCTCTGATCTTTGCAGGCCTGCCTTCCCGAAATTACACTCACTTTTGTCAGCGTGGGTTTAGCAGCCAGCCGGGTGCTCATCTCATGTGTTGCAATCCTGGTTGTAGATTGCAGTAACTTTGTACATTGGATCCAACCACTCTTGTAATTCTTATTCAATTTTGTTTTTAGTTGTGTTAAAAGTGTAACAGTATGAGTTATTAGGGTGTGCATCGTTTTAGCACCATTCTTTCTTGGCAATGTTCTGTGAAAATATGTTTTCTTATCAGCAGCCCGCATGGACAGCTCAATAACTCGGGATCGAATCTCTCACCAGCGGCAATACAGGAGCAACCTCTCAAAGTGAGGGGGACTCCTTGTGTGCAATAAACCTTAGAAGTCTGAATTACTATAATTTACATCCTCCCAAATGCTTTGTCGGACCGAGGCGTGAGGAACCTCGTTGGGGATTTAACTTTTTGGTAACAATGTTTTCTTACCAGAAATGGAACATGCCTTTCATGAGCTCAGGTATATAACTTGGCATTCCCTGCTGCCTGCTGCAAAATATAATTAATATACCTATCTGAAATTTTTTACAGAAGGGTATCATTTATGTTCCGAAATAATTTGTATAACAATTTTCTCGTTTAATTCTGGAGTATAGTGATTTTATTTTTTTGTTTACCAACTTTAACATTGACCATTATGAATCTTGATTAGTGTGTTTGTATCACTTTTGATCTTTTGTCCAATTCTTTAATATTGCTGAAGACAATATGGTAATTTTTCAAAATTTACCACTAATATACTCTCATTTCTCTGTCAAATACGAGAAAATTTATTCAAAATTCTCTTTGTTTTGAACTAAGATGTTATTCCATGAATCTTTTGTATCATTCATGGCCCGTTTGGTTCACGGAATAGGCCGGGAATGGCATAGCATTCCCAGTAATAGGCCTATTCCGTTGTTTGGTAACCATTTCTATTACCAGGAATAATATTCCTGGTAATAGCCTATTACCTCAAATAAGGTAATAGCTATTACTAGGGCCCCCCTGGTATTAGCCTATTACTGAACGCTCAGGAATAGATTTTAGAATCTATTTCCTTTTTTACCCCTTTCTTTAACCTAATTTTATTATCCTATATATAAATTTTTCATATTTCACCACCGTCGTCGTCGACGCCACCACCAACACCACCATCGCCGCCCCCACCACTGCCACCGCCACCACCACCACTACCACCGCCACCACCACCATTACCACCGCCACCGCCGCTGCTGCCACCACCACTGCCACCGCCACCACCACCACTACCACCGCCACCACCACCATCGCCACCGCCACCGCCGCTGCCGCCACCACCACCACCGCCACATCCGTCGCCACCCCCACCACCACTACCACAACCGTCATCGTCAACTGTCACCATCACCACCACTACCACCCCAGCACCACCACTACCACCACCGCCACCACCACCGTCGCCACCGCCACCAGAACCACCACCCAGCAGCACCACCGCCACCACCATCACCACCACCGCCACAACCGTCGCCGCCCCCACCACCACTGCCACAACCGTCACCGTCACCACCACCACCGTCGCCCCCACCACTGCTACCGTCGCCCCCACCACTACCACCCCAGCACCACCGCCACCACCACCATCACCACCACCGTCACCACCACCGCCGCCGCCACCACCGCCGCCGCCACCCCCGCCACCATCGCCACCGCCACCATCACATATTTTTATAAGGGTATTTATGTCTTTTAAAACATATTTTAGTTCTATTCCTTAAATCAACCAAACACTGTAATATAAGTCATAAAGTCTATTCCTTCCGCGAACCAAACAATAGAATACAATTCCTATTCTATTCCTTGCCTATTCCATTCCTTATGGAATAGCATTCCTATTACCTCAAAATTCATTCCGTGAACCGTGCTGTCAATATTTTAAATGAAAGGGAAATAGAGCGTGAGAGGATTTCACTTGTTTTGAGTAAATTTTCTTGCATGTAACTAATTTTTCTTTTAAATACTATTAATTTTATTATAATGTAGTATCAATTTTATATTTTCTCTAATTATTACTATCTAAGGAGTCAATGCCCTCTTATCGGGTTCAATCCTGTGATCTAAATTTAGATAGAAAGAAGAGTAAACTAGGGGTGATTGGGTGAAGCTTGAGAAATTACAATTTCAACCTTAGTAATAATTCAAAAGAGTTAATTCTCAAAATGGTCTACCAATTATGACATTTTTTCAAATTGATCCCTTAAATTTTTAATTTATTCAAAATAGTCTTTCAATTTTTAAATTTTAAGTCAAAATGATTATTTGTTAGCTTTGTCGTTAAGCTAGTATTAAAATGAAGGGTAAAATTGAAAATTTAAAATTTACACTCTCATTTAAAGCAATTTGTGATTTCTTTTAAATTAAATTTTTATCTTCTTAAATCTACAATCAAAATGTGAGATAATCAACCACAAACTTCCTAGACAAAGAAAACTCTTCAAAAAATTACAACAATTGTGAACGCTCTAACCCAATTATAGTTCCATTTTTTAAAAAAATTGATAGCGCAATTACAATTTCATGTATAATTTCTAATCTATTTGACCTTTTCTTTTCTTTTCTAATAGGAAAGAAAACCCCAGTAGTCAGCACAACATGAGAAAGGAATCCACAAGAAGTCTTTCCTCAACAAGTCAAGAACTAGTTGTTCCCAATAATTGTTTTCTTAACTAACATACTTGCCACTCTATTTTTATTCCAGGAGACATGCCCCAATCTATTTGACCTTTGTTCCTTTATAAAGATTCTCATTATTCAATATTTTTACCTTATATTAAAAATAATAATACTGATGTTTTCAATAATAATAATAACCTGAAGGTGTACTTTGATAAATAGAATGAATGATAATAGGAACTTCGAAAGCTTCATTGAAACTATGCTATGTATAAGAAGAGGTTTAAAAAGAAAATAGTTTCCATTTTTCATTCTTCCATTCATTCACTTGTATAAACAAAAACAAAACAAAAAACCTGCTAAAAATTATAGCAACAACAAAGGATCTACGTAATCAGATTCTAACCTAACACAAAACAACAACCAAATCCCCTCCTCTCTCCGTCTAATCCTCATCGGCGCCGGGCTTTGATGACCCGCCGGCCTTCTTTGGGAGCAGAAGGTTGTGGATGTTGGGCATCACGCCGCCATTGGCTATCGTCACATCCCCCAGCAGTTTGCTCAGCTCCTCGTCGTTCCTCACTGCCAATTGGATATGCCTCGGCACAATCCTCGTCTTCTTGTTGTCCCGAGCTGCGTTTCCGGCCAATTCCAGGACCTAAAACGGTCAACTCATTCGTCAGAACCAAAATCCGAACCAAAATCGAAAACTGGAGTAAATAAACCCTAGAAGCAGAAATTGGGGAAAAGAGAGGGGAAAGGTTTTAGGGATCCGGAATTTACCTCGGCGGCAAGATATTCGAGCACGGCGGCGAGATAGACGGGAGCACCGGCTCCAACACGCTCGGCGTACTTGCCGGCCTTGAGAAAACGGGCAATACGACCGACGGGGAACTGGAGCCCGGCTTTGCTGCTACGTGACTGAGCCTTCTTCGCAGCTCCGGAACCAAGAGTCTTTCCACGGCCGGCCATCTCTTTAGATATTCAGGCGGCAAAGATCGAGAAAGAGAAGCTTTAATCGGTGAGCTATTTCTAGTCTAGAGAGAGAAAACGCAGAGAATAAATTGCAGGGTTTACGAGAGGGATGAGAGGAAAGTAGTCTTTAAATAAGACTCGCGTATTTCAAATTGGACCAATAAGGGTGAAGTACGCGGATCGATCTTTCCTACCGTTGGATAAGATTGACATTAACGGCAGAGATATGGATCAAGGTTTCTAGAGAAAAACTCGGGTTTATGCTAATTTATTGTTATTTAATCTAAAATTCGAATACTCCATTACTCCGTATTTGTTACTACATAGAAAATTTATTATATTAAAATAGGGTTGTTTTTTTCATAACCGACTGGTTAAAATATATTTTTTACTTTAGACTAGTATTTTCACCCGTGCGATGCACGGAATGGAATTGTTGTAACTGACGGTAGTGAGTAGCAGCGAGGTTCTTCTCCGGCGAGTTGTGGGTACGGCGGCGAGCATACGAGGCAGTAACTCCTTCCGGCGACGGACCAGTAAGGCAGATCTGGCAGTGCAGCACCAGATCCGGCGAGGTTGGGGCCTTCACCAGTGATTTTTGGTTCCGGCGAAGCAGAGAGGGCAGCAGGTCGGCGAACCCTCCTATGGTAAATAGCAGTTGTAGTTGTAGATGGTGTGATGTAGAATTTGCACCTGTAAGTCCTCCCTTCCATATTGACCACAACTATCCTTCCCATCTCTCTCTCTCTCTCTCTCTGACCACAACTACTTGGTGCACAACCTCTAAAACTCTACTCTGTTATTCTACCTGAAATTCATTGAAGTTTCAAGCTGAAAATGTGGAATCCGCCGCTCCCCAAAAATCGCATTGTCTGAGGTGTTGGAATGGCCGGTGTTGACTTCATGGTTGCTGTAGCTTCATTCCCCAACCCGGATGATAAAATTCGGAGCACCAGCTTTGAGGTTCAAGGAGGTGGTAACGCTGGCAATGCTTTGATAAAACCCGGATGATAAAATTTGTCTTGGTCTTAATCCAAGGATCATATCTAAGGTTGCTGATGACTCGCATGGCGAAAGAATACTTGATGAGCTTGAAAGGGATGGTGTTGATACATCTTTTATGGTGGTGTCCAAAGGAGGAAACTCACCATTCACATATGTCATTGTTGACAAACAAAAAAAAAAAAAACTCGCACATGCATTTTCGCTCCAAGATATCCACCCATAATATCTGAGGGTCTACATACCCAAATCAAAATTGTCTTCAGCGCTTGGAGTAAATATTGTCTACTTAGATGGAAGGCTGCATGAGACTGCTTTGATTGTAGTGCAGGAGGCAAAGAGTAGGGGCATACCTATTATAGTTGATGCAGAAAGGTTAGGGGAGGGGTTGGGTGATATTCCTGACTTTGCTAGTTATGTTGTATGCTCGACAAAATTTCCACAAGCATGGACTAACGCCCTTTCTATTCTAACTGCACTTGTTTCCATTATCTTGAGATTGATGTCAAATGTAAAATTCGTGATTGTTAGTTGGGTGAAGATGGTTTCTTAATGTTAGAAAGGACTGAAGCGGATAACCTCAGTTTGAAGAAATGGATGTAGCAGTGACCAATGAATGGAGAAATACAAGAATTAGAACATAAAAAGACAGAAAAACCCTGCTAATTCACGGTCAACAAACGGCGTCATTGACGGAGGATCAAAACTGTCCAACGATCAATAACAGTGGTTACTAAGTGGCAATTTTTATTATGGACGATGAAAAGTGTCAATGCCCCAATAAGTCTAGAACCAAAATGACATTAACTCTTGTATTCCGTGAGTCACAATAATAATATAACAATAATTAAATATTGTTCAATTCTATATTCTTCTAGGATTTCTATTACCATCATTAATTATTCCCAAATTTACCATAATTAAATAATTTGACCAATTATAAAGAAAGATTATTAAATAATGCACGGGACAATTATTTAATTAAAAATTTTAAAAATTCATTAATGAAACATAAGGTTCTCATAGTTTTTTCTTAGAAACTCTTTAATAAAGTATTTTTTTTAGAAATTGGTGGGTCAAACCGCCTAAGGCAGTTTGCGGTGGATAGATCTAGAAAAAATACGCAATTTCAAAAAAACATTTGTCCAAAACGGACAACGGAATCAAAAGTTATGTCTTGTCGAACTTTTGACACTTTGCAACTTAAAAAACAAAAAATAAAAATTAAAGGCTGGTTCAGCCGGCGAGGCGGCCGCTGAGGAGGCCGATTCCGGCCTTCCTCGCCGCGGCCAGCGACAGGATTTTTGCAACACTGATATATAAAATAGATATAGATTAAAATAGAAATAGTATTACACAATTTTATAATATTACAATAAAATTTTAACCCAGAATTATTGTAAAAATCAATATATTTTATTAGGAAGAGAGATTTTTTAGGAATTGGGCGGGAAGTTAAAATTCCAGGATTTTGTTTTATATATAGTATAGATTGTATTACACTATTTTATAATATTAGAATAGAATTTTAACGCAGAATTATTGACGAATGGGAAAGTAGAAATCAATATATTTTATTAGGAAGGGAGATTTTTTAGGAATTGGGTGGGAAGTTAAAATTCCAGGATTTTGTTTTTATATATAGTATAGATTGTATTACACTATTTTATTTTATAATATTAGAATAGAATTTTAACGCAGAATTATTGTACGAATGAGAAAGTAGAAATCAATATATTTTATTAGGAACGGAGATTTTTTAGGAATTGGGCGGGAAGTTAAAATTCCAGGATTTTGTTTTTATATATAGTATAGAAGTATAGATTGTATTACACTATTTTATAAAATTAGAATAGAATTTTAACGCAGAATTATTGTACGAATGGGAAAGTAGAAATCAATATATTTTATTAGGAAGAGAGATTTTTTAGGAATTGGTTGGGAAGTTAAAATTCCAAGATTTTGTTTTTATATATAGTATAGATATTGTATAAATTCATCACTATTACCATTCACATGCATCTATAATATATCATTTTTCTATTCTTTAATTGTTATTTTATTAAATTATATGCATCATATAACAATTAATTTAATTATAGATTATATTTTAATTAAATACCCCATCACATTTTATATGTCGAGTTCAGTTAATAAGACTTACATTAAAATTATTTACAATTTAATTTTTTATAATATTAAGTTTATAATTAGTAACCAAGACTATATGGTCTAATAGTATCCGGGTTAGACGCGTTATTGGTTCTTTGTGTTTCAGTAGGTTGAGAAAGTATATGAACAGATACTACATTGTAATAGAGCCAGTAGCATCCAAAAAAAAAAGTTTAGAATTAGTATGTAAAATTTATATATTTAAAAACTACATTCAAAGTATCATTAAACATAAAAAATTAAATTTTAAAATTATAAGAAAATGCTAATAGAAATAAGTAAATAAAAAATAATTAATTTGATTAGTAAATAATAAGTATGACAGATAAAATGAGACTAAAGGAATATAAATATGAATGTTAAATCATATGTGTATATATAATACATATATTAATTGTGTATATATACAAATATATAGGTTCTGTTTGGCAAACCTAGCTGAAAAGCTATAAGCTAGGAGCTGAAAGCTGAAAAGTTATAAGCTCGAAGCTTATTTTAGGAACATTACCAAACAGGGCTTATAGCTTATTAGTATCTTAAAATAAGTTATAAGCTCCTAAATAAGCTCTGCCAAACAGATCCATATTGTTATTAAACTGACTACGTTATTATTAAACAAAAATTATAAATTCTTTTTCTATACTAATCAAATATTATAACTAAAACTTATCACTTTAAAGATTTGTGAAATATAACCATGGTAGATTTTGTACGCGCACCGCTAACATAATATTCATTTTTAGTATATTGAATGTTGATTTTTGAAGGTTCATTTTTAGTATACTGAATGTCCATTATTTAGTATGTTATAATAAAAATGAACATTTAGTACATTAATAATAAATTTATAATATATATATATATATATATATATATTAAAAACAAACATTTATTTATAGTTTATATTGCAATGTAGACCATACTTAATTGTATAATTTGTCAAATTGTGATGGTATAGGCTCAAAGGTTCAATAGGTCTAGTCAGCCCAACGAAAATAATGACCCAAAACACGACATCAAACTAGCCATAGGAGAACAATTATAACTGGCAAATTATATCATGCACCGCGCGTCCTTTTTTTAAATGAAAAGAAACGGTGTTTGTTTTCCGTCGTTTCGCACCCTTTTGCAAAAAGTAACCCTGTTATTCAGTGTCATTTTGTATACACTGCAGTTTTAGTTCAACACAACTACAGTTTCATTTCGATATAACTATAGTTTCATTCGATATTTATAGACTCAAATATGTGAAAATGTTATTGAATTTTATTTTATATACACTATAGTTTCATTAAAACACAACTACATGATCATTTTGATATAATTACAACTTCATTGTACAATATACACTCAAATATGTGAAATGTTATTCAGTTTCATTTTATATACACTGCAGTACCATTTCACTATAACTACAGTATCATTTTGATATAACTGCAGTGTCGGTTTAGATATACTATAGTGTCAGTTGGTGTTTAATACACCAAACAAGCGGACTCCGTTAACTATAACGGCGGGCCGTTTCTTTACTTAAAGAAACGGCGCCGTTTTTTACCGCGGTCTATGATATAACGACTCATTATAGCTCGCTATTATATTATAAACTAAAAAGATATAGCCTATTTATTTAAAATAGTTAGTTTATCAACTAATTTTAGTTTATTTAATCACTATTAATTATAGGATTTGATTAAAAAAAATCAATATAAGTGTTTGATTAATTAGTTTTTTGCAACTTCAAAATGCTAAAATTCAAAAAGTTGCTCAAAGTAACTTTTTCAATAAACTTTTTGAGAAAATAAATTATATCAAATAGCTATCAACTAACAGCTAATTTACTAAACACCTTTATACAATCAGCTAATGTTATCAATTAGTTATACCATATAATTAACTCAATCAGCTAACAGCTAACGGCTATCAGTTAACCGTCATTTACCAAACATG